CACACACACACACACACACACACACACACACACACACACACACACACGCCAAGCACGAGCACAACACAGACATCTGAGCGCAAACATACAGAGATAGTGAGCTCTGCAGGCGTGTGCGTGTGTGCACGGTGGACGCTCTGTTTTTTTTAACTATGTGAGAGTTCAATGCCACGTATCATTCCAAACAGAAAAAGGAGAAATGCCAAAAACCTCTCTGGTGTTTTCCACAGCTCGAGCCAAGTTTAAAGGGGGGGGGGACATAATGTTCTTTTCCTGCGACTCATCCTCGCCGAGGCTGCGGGAGGGTCAGACACTCGCATCCCGCGGTCAGTTTCATTTACATTTCCTCCTCCTCACAGCTGCGAGGAGGCACGTGTGCAGATTTACATGTGCATATGATGTGTTCACGGGACGCTCCCAACTAATACTGGATCAGCGCAAGAGACATTCAGGCTGAGCGTTCTTGATGTAAAGTCTATGCTGGAATAATAACAAGAAAGCTGGAGGTTTGATGAGGAAACGGGAGGAGCAAGGGGGAGTTGACGTAGCAGGAAACCCGGCGAGGGTTAAAGCATCACATCCTGCCGCTGAACTATGAAGAGAACGAAACAGGAAGGAAACATGGGAGAAAAACAAACTGCAGACTCAGAGGCTGAGTTAGGGCCATCTGGTGGGTGAAGAGGGAACTACAATGAGAGGGGGGGGGACAGAAAGTGTTGCAAGGCAATATTTCATCACGTGAATAAAAAAAGCAGCAAAGCAGAGCAATAAAACATTTAAAGGAGAAAAGGAGTCGCCTGATTCAGACGAGTCCTCACTCATTTAAGAGCTGACAAAATGGCCTCCAGAGTAAAAGGGAAGATCATGGAACACCTGGGCAAAGCTTTAAAGTGCTCAATCAAGTAAACGACAACAGAATCGTTTCATAACTCCAAATATTTGATAAGAAATGTCCTGATTGTGTGTTAGACGTGTGTTTGGGCGAGTGCAGCTTTGGTTCCATCATCGTCCCATGTTTCTGGAGTCCAGGAGAGAGGTACCTGTGGCGCGAGCCGCTCTCAGGGGGTCCTGGGTGGGCCTGACTACTTTTGGCTCGGGGCTGTACCACGCAATGAGCGGGGAGGGGTAAAAGAAAGAAAAAAAAAATTTCAGTCAAAGGCAAATAAAGGCAAAGCCTCAAAGATGAGAGAAATAAAAACTAATAACATAAAGAGAGGCAGTAATCAGAGCAGCAACAGAATCCAAGATGGCGACTGAATCTCTGAACCAAGAAATCTGGCTTCTCCAAACTCAAATCTCAGATGAATTAAATCAATTTTCAAACTGTTTTTTTTTATTTTATTATTAATTAAAAACACAAAAACTGTACTCTACTTCTAACCTACAAAGCCCTCAACAACCTAGCTCCATCTTATATTACATATC